AAACCCGGTCCTCGGTTCCCAGTGTTCTGTTTGATCGTTTCGTAGTCCACCGCCGTTGCTGGCGGAAAAGGGCGAGTGCTCTCCCTTTCGAGTATGTTTTGGTTGAGTTCCCCGTTCTGGATTGTGATTGATGTCGTTATTCTTTGTCTGCCTGCGTCTGCCCGTGGATCGCCGCGACCTGGACGTGTCCTTCTCTGTGCTTCTTCCTTGTTGCTTGCATTTCGTCTATCGATTGCCGCGACCTGGATACGTTATTTTATTTTATTTTTTTTTGTGCGTTCGTTAGTTTTCTTTTCGCTGCTTTCAACAATCGGTATCGTCGACGATTTGAAGTAGTCGAAGCATGGGCGGTGTTGTTTGCCTTTGAACACTTGGAAAACGAGTTCCCCACGTTTCGTCGGTGACGTTTGCCTCTGGATACTTGGAAAAAGAAAGAGTTCCCCAAGTTCCGTCGTTTCCAACTGCCACCTTTGTTTCTGTAGCCTGGTCATCACGAGATGGGTTGACTACGCCCCATGCTCCGGACCTCTATTCCGTTGCGTCCCCTTCCCCTGCGGCCTTCATCGACGTTCGCCATCGCCCACTTCACTGGACTTCTTTCCGCCATACTCACTTCCTGGCGTCGACTACATAACCATAGTCGAGATCCCGAGTTCTAGTGTTGTATGCATGTTTATGTGTTTTCTGTTTATGTGTTGTGTGTTTGTGTTTCATCATCGCCCGTCTGTGCGAGATATAGGGTGGCTAGTCGCATTAATTTTCGACTTTGATCATTCGTGCCTCGTCCAGCCATTGGTTTTACATGGTTTGGACTCCACGTTTCTTTGTGCAGTTTGGTTGGGGTGGCAATTAACGCCTCTCTTCCGTTTTGGCCATGAACGTTCTTCAGTCTTACCTTTTGTGGTCAGCGCATTCAGCCGTAGTGTGCCCGTCGTCCTGTCCCACTGAATTTTGCGGGAGTAATTCTGGACTCTCTTGTGTCGCCACCCTCATTCCTCCAGTCGTAATACGCGCTTGCGCGCGAAATAGAGTGGTGTGTGGCGTTGATATTGATTTTTTTTTTGTGTATTAAACCATGGTGCTTTGCAGCACATCTTGTCTAGCTATATCCCTCCATGGGTATAACCTTGTCATTGAGTCGCCACTAGATGTGTTTCCGCGTCATCGGAATCACCTTTTGTCTCAATGGTGGTGTGGGGGGTCGAGTCGGGATATTCCTACAGCTCCTCTTTCCTTTGGATACACTTGTGAAGAGTCATATCTTTCGATTCATGATCCTAAATCATCAGCTATTAGTAGCCTTAGGATTTGAGTATAGAATCTGTATAGATGATCTTCAGGGTGGGCTAGTGTTAAGGAGTGTTGCTGTATGGCACAGATAGGGTACACAGTCGGTCTAGATTAAGATGGGGGACGTCAGGAGGTATACCCTCTTAGGACGTACCCCATCGGGACTTAGCTATCTGCGTGCCCCCAGGTTGAGGGCAATCCGCCTCACCTCAGACCTGTGTAGCAGACCCACTTCTGCAATAACAAGCAACCTTCCCATCTCAACGTGCTCGTGGACAAGNTTTTCCGAACCCCCATTCAACCGAGACTCTGACGGAGCTCATTGCGGTGTTGAAGGTCTGTTCGAAGGCGTTTAAAACCCCCTTGTACGGCGCCAGCAACCAGGGCGAAAGGCTGTACGCAGGGTCGCCGAATACGTAGTAAGGGGTGCCTGCTGCGTCGTTGAACCACTGCTGCAGATCTTGCAGCAGACCACTTTCCCCTACCATGGCGACATCGTGGCGACGCCCGAGTATGGGACCCCAAAGCATGCGAATTATCCCATCGGGGGTGTCGATCGCTTGATACTTCAACGCGTGCTTTCGCTTCCAACCATTGTACCACAATCTCTGATTACGCTTAGGTCGCGAGATCGCGCGAATAGTGCCGTCGATAAAGCCCCAACAACGCGTGAGCGGGGCACCTTTCTCATAAATTGCCTGACAGAACATATCTATCTGATAGAATTGCATCATGTTGCAGCTGGTTTACCAGCTGACCCCAGCGATCAAAGATCGCTTCGATGGTGAGGTTGAACATCTCGCGTATCATCTGTTCCGCTATCCCCCAAACGAGCCGGTCCCGGATCAGCGTCGTCGGACATGCCAGGCGCCAGATCGTCACCGCCAGCGCAAGGTCGATAGGAACCCTGGAAACTCCAAACCCTCCCCTGTTGACCGAACAGACACAAGGAGCAAAGTCATGTTCCATTGCTGCCGTCAGTTTCGGTGCTATAGGGCGAAAACGGGCGGGGGGAGAAGTACCACGCGTGGTGAACGCATGGAGAGTGCGGTGACGATTTGTGCTACACGTGTAGACTGCTGTAGTACAACAGGTATGACCTCAAAAACACATTTCAAAAATCAATACATACTTGATGTAGTCTACTGCTGTATCAACTGCTTCGCTGTCATTGATGCTGTCTGAAACTATGTGCACCTCCGTGATACTCAGGACACGGGTATTATTCCTACGTGCTGAGATGAGAAGCCTGTCCACAGCAGTACCACAACCCCGACGCGCCCTGCCCGTCGCATACAGCAACTACCGCAGAGTTCTCAAACGCACACGACTCCGACTGACCTGTGAATTTCGATCTCCTCAGGGAGCTGCAGCTCGTGCAGCAGCTCGCGGAAGTGAGGCTTCTCGAACCTAAACAGCTCCTTAAAGTCCAAACCTCCAATTGCATGGAAGAAATTGTACATCGGGCACACACCCTCCAGGATCGTTGGGGCTATCAGTTCTTCATACGCCTCCAGCTTTGCTAAGCCAAACATGGCCATCACGAGGAACATGTCCTCCTCTCCAGCTAGCGCACACAACACAGCAAGCAGAAGAACCAGCATGCACTCATCATACCGCTCGTAGCGGATTCTGCCTCGCGCAAGGCGCGCCATCCCCTCGCTCCGTGTCGGGTGCGGTGATGAGGGAGCGCGACCGTTGGGTTTCCCGGCGGTGCAGCGATGCAGCTGGGGTTGAATATTTTTTTTGCCGCTGCTGGCCTTCGCCAGGCAACAGGCAACGTGCGAACGTGCGGCGGGATATTTTTTCGTGTCAATTTACCAACCGATACCTATTTTCGTGTCAATTTGCCAACCGTCACTTTTTTTGCGAATGACACGAATTTTTTTTATTTTTTTTCTTAATATGACACAACTAGTCCATCTCTATCATAGAAAAGAGTCAGAGACAGATTAACAATGGAATCATAGCGTCAGAGAAAACTACCTGTGTGTCTACGATTTCCCAGACAGCATTTAGGGACATCTCCCCTGTGGGTGACAGGCTCAAAAGATCAGTTTGGTAGCTGTCTTGTGTGTCTCATATATGTTATGTTGGGAAGGTGCAGACGAAAGGTGTTGGGTACTGTTGGGTAGTCGGGCGTTTTGTGTGTCGCACCCTATTAGTTCTAACACATGCAATCTCCATCAGTTTTTGGACTGAGATAGATTGACACAAAAAAAGTGACGGTTGGCACACTGACACGAAAAAAGGTAACGGTTGGTAAATTGACACGAAAATATATTCCGCCGCACGTTGCCTGGCGAAGGCCAGCAGCGGCGCAGACCCACGTGTGTCAGGAATTTTTTTTATTTTTCTTAATATGACACAACGAGTCCATCTCTATCATAGAAAAGAATTTTGACACAAGCACGAAATTTTGACACGAGACCAGAATTTTGACACGAGAGGTTTTTTACGCCGAACTTTTTCATGATAGAATCACAGGTCAAATTTTTTCGAAAACGTGGTCAAAATATTTTCACCGGAGGTGTTTTGACACGAGAAAACGACAAATTGACACGAGCGCCATCGCACACACACGAAGGCATCAACTCAGTCGGCAAGCTCGCACGCAGCTTCCCGCACACCCACACACGTGAACACAACGCTCCCGGGAGTACATCGCGATAGGGGAACGTCAAGCCGCGGTTAGGATCGTGTGCGTTCATCGCGGGATCGAGAACAAAACACTCCGAGGTTGGTCTGTCTAGACTCTGGACTCGAAGCACACGGGAGATAACCACAACAGCAGCTAGTCGGGTGCCCCGCCCGTGAAGGGAGAGGTTACAGCAGTTGNCGTAGTAGGGGCGCGAAGCCCCTGGCGGGGGTTGGGATTTGGGGATTGTTGTTCGCGGAGTGTAGTTCTCGGGATTCGAGAGGAAACATGTCTCCAGCTTTGCTACGCCAAACATGGCCATCACGAGGAACATGTCCTCCTCTCCAGCTAGCGCTGCGCTAGCTGGAGAGGAGGACATGTTCCTCGTGATGGCCATGTTTGGCGTAGCAAAGCTGGAGACATGTTTCCTCTCCACTCCCGAGAAATACACTCCCCGAATCCCAACCGCCGCTNCGGTGCAGCGATGCAGCTGGGGTTGATTTTTTTTTAACTTGAGGCTGCGCAGCTGCTTATTACGATGAGTGCATGCAGGTTCTACTGCTTGCTGTGTTGTGCGCGCTAGCTGGAGAGGAGGACATGTTCCTCGTGATGGCCATGTTTGGCGTAGCAAAGCTGGAGACATGTTTCC